GCGGAAAAAAGAGCAGGGCAAAGGGGGCCCAGCCGCTGCGCTCGGCTGTAGCTGTCGCAGCCCCGGTTTTGCTAGGGACTAGCGGAGGCACCGGCAGGGTCCTGCAAAGCTGCAGGGGAAGGATGGTCGGGCTGGTGCGCGTTAGTCATCCTGAGTGGGCCAGTCTCCCAGGGAGGAGCGGCTTCTCTCTGGAAATAGCAAGCCCACCAGCAGTTCGTAGGTTTGAAAAGGTGCAAATAGAGCAAACTTCCCGTAAAATATGTGGTGTCCCATGGATGTCTTACTACCTCGCTCTTCTGTGTGCCACTTTCTCTGCTTGGAGTATGTTCTGCCGCCATTTTAGCATCCCCGCTTTGCTGCAGAATGAACGGTGGGCTGTATTTCACCGCTTTTTAAAAAGTTTCTGCTTCCGCAGTACTCCTCAGTCTTGTGAGCTTTTTTTCCTCTGAGATGTCCTTGTTCCTTTCTTATCTTTAGCATGTTCTTTTTGTACCTCAAACTGTGCTTCCTCACATCCTTGGGCCTTTTAGTTCCTTCCACAGAGCTGTGGAAAACAGGGGCAGAGCTGAGAGGAGACATTTTTCCACCTTGGTGTAAAACATTTTCCCCTCCTCCTTTGGTGGGATGATAAACCTTGAGGAGAAGACCACAGGCTTTTGTCATTAGGCAGAAGTCCAGGGTGGGTAATTGGCGTTGCACCTCTCCTGGGCTTGCTGAAAGGCTTTGGTTTAAGAAGTAGTAAGGTCAAGGTGAGGTCAGTCTTGGCCGCTGCACACAGGTTGTGACCCTAACTTTCTTTCAAAATCGAAACCAGCTTGAGACCGAGCTGTAAAAAGAAATGCGTGTAATAAAGAGAGTTTACAGAGCCAGCAGAAGCCTGAGTACAGTAATTTATTTATAGAAAGCATGTGGATTGATTAAGAAGGGGAGAGCGCAGCACAATACGGGTTGTGAAAGAAAGTGAAGGCTGTGAATTCTGCAGCCTTTCCTCCTTTCTAACCCAGCACAATGCCTGGCCGTTGCCTCCGTGGAGGGCATCATAAGGTGTGAAGGGGTCAAGATTTCTCCAGAGAGACTAGTGGTTTGGGGTGCTTCAGTTCTGGGGTGCTAGTCTCCAAAGAATCTGTAAAGAGGTTAAGAAGTTAGTTCAGGAAAAAAATAGACTACTGATGTCCATCGGCTGTAGTGGATGCTGTGTACAGGTTTCTGCCTGGGAAATGTAGAAATTGGTGAGGAGAAAGGTAAAGGAACGGTGACTTAGTGAAATGTTTTGCTGTGTTTTTTCATGATTATTTGTGATAAAAGTGGAGTGGTGGGTGTACCTCTTGCTGGAGAGCTTGACTGATTCTGAGAAGGGCCTCTGGGGGGTGATGCTTGGGAAGGGCGTTGGGAGACCAGGCTGTTTGGCTGGAAGTCTCAGGGCAGGCTGCTGGGTGTTGAGTGGAGAGCTGGAAAGTACTGGTACTAGGACCATTTCTAAGTGCCTGTTTAGAAAAAAAAACCCCACAGAACAGCTGATTGATACGGTCCCACCTTCTGTAAAAATATACTGGGAAAAAAAGCAGGTTTTTGTCCAGAGTCAGCTGGGGCAAGTAGCAGCCCCCAGGGCCGTGCTGCCAGCCTCCCAGCCACGCCATCGCCTCCTGCCAGCTCAGGCTCCGCTCCGGCCACAGAGCAAAGCGGTTGGATTTCCTGATCTGCAATCCTCTGTCCCAGCCCGCAGTTTTGCTTTTTCTGTGTTAACTTTCTGCCATTTTAGTGATCTCAGTCAGCTTATCATATGATCCGATGGGTGCCAGAACGAGCTCAGCGCTCCTGGGAGAAATATGTGACAGGAGGCGGGAGGGAGGCAGGGGAAGGAAGGGTAGGAGCTCCCCGGTGCAGGAGCTGGGATCTATTAATTCAGCTCCAGCTGTACTGAGAAACCGTACCCTTATGGTGGCATAGCTGAAGGGAGACGACGTCTTGTTCTTGTCTAGCTGTCGTGAGACAGGCGAAGGGAGCTGTTGCAGGTCTGATGCATCACTTGAAGAAATCTTGCTTTTCTTTTACTAGTGAAAACCAAAACAAAGAGAAATGTCCTTTTGCAACCCCCTAAGCATGCTTGCGTCTACCCAGTAAAATGTCAGCCAGGTACCAGGCACTGGTGCATGGAAATAAAATATGCAATATATGGAGTTTAATCAGTCTGGCATGTTAATAAGCTATCGGTACTGACTATAAGCTTTGCAAAAGTAAACAGAAGGGAAGCTGTGAATGTAATCTGGCTATGCTTAATCTTGATAGTCATCCTTTTAATGTGGAGAAAGAGAAATGGGTTCTAAGATTTGTGTAAGAACACTTTAAAAAGAATTTATTTTTTTTTTGAGTATTTGCTGTTTTTTCATACAAAGTATCAAAAGGGTCCAGCACAGTTGGGGAAAACCCAGTGGCTGGAGTTCTTTCCCAAATGTTTTGTTCTGTGTATACTGAAAGGATGGATGAGACGCTGGTGCTGACGGTTCTCTCTTTTCTTCAGGGTCGGCATGTCAAAACGGGTCAGCTGGCAGCCATCAAAGTCATGGACGTTACCGAGGTGAGTACAGGAACATGCTGCTTTATTAGAAATACGGGTAAAATTTAATAATGAGAGATGGCTTACGGCTTACCTCATATTCCCTGCTTCCCACTTTTTTTCTATTAAATGTTCCATCTTGCTTTTACCGAAAAAGAAGGTGAGGAGGCTGCTCGATGTAGAGGACAGTAGTTTCCCCAGTATGCTTGCAGCCTAATAAGGGTATACATTTATTCAGAGGAAATGGGTCCGGTAAAGTTCCCAGAAGCCTGAAAGCAGAAACATGTGCAGAAATGATGAGCAGATTGCTGGCAGAATTCAGCAGTGTAAAGCAGTAGTTGTAACTGACCCAGGGGGATTTACTGTGGAGCTTTCGATGGGAAAGACGGGAAATTTAACCCAGCCAAAGAAATAAAAAATATATGGCCATATTTGAATCTTTAGATGTCTTGCAGTTTATGCTGTTCAAAAAACAATCAGTTAAAGTTAAGTATTCAAAGCAGATCAGGAAAAGCATGGGTTCTTCCCTGTTGATGCCAGTTGTGTTTTATAGAGGTAAGTCCACAAATTAGCACAACAGTGTCAGATTTAAAATCAGATGAGATCCCTGACTGATACCGCACTTCTGAAGAGAGGCTGTGCCTCTTGAAACCAAGCGTCTTATTTTTCTGAACTCCTCAATCTTATATAGGTATTAGGGGAAAAATTATGTTAATGCGTGTGCATTGTGCAGAGCAGGGGGTCTTTGGCAAGCTGGTTATGTTAAGCAAAACTCTTACAAGGGTGTTGCTGCAAAATGTTTTATATTTTAGTGTGTGTATAGGCACCAACAAGTAAAAATGGCCTTGCGCAGAAGCTCTGAGGTGAGTGGCTGGGATATAACGGGTAAACAGGCAGGAGAGGGAGGAAAACAAGAAGGTAGGGATAGGTCAACTGTTAGGACTTCAGTCATATCTCTGAATCTCCTTGTGATCGATGGGCGATGTGACTGCCACTCTCTAGCTTAAGCTGCCAAGAACTAGACATTCTTACTTTGCGAGATGGCCTGATAAAAATCAATTTTCAGCTGGAGATTTTCAAAGGCTGCCTTCATGAGGAGGCAGTGCTCTTTTGCTGTAGTTAGCAAGCAGACAAACAAGAGAAGGATGAAGGTGCGTTGACATACAGTGAATGTTCTTTGCACAGCAAACATTTCCATTTGTGCAGTGGTTTTACACGGAGCAGCTTGCTGGGCTGTGCACAACGAAGGCTTCTTCCATAACATTGAGATTGGCTGTAGTGCACACTCCCTCTGGCTTTAATAGTGTGTATTAATCACAAACAGTTGTAATGGAGAGGTTGCACAGCAGAAGGAAAACAGTTGAGAAATGCTGCCTATAGTACGGCTGAGCTCATGTTGCGGGAGATGGCTTGTATTTTGAAACTTTCTGTAGTTTTTGGCTGGTTTTGAAACGCCAGTTGTATATTGGCACTGTCTATCTATTATCTCACAAGTTCATGCTTTTTTAGGGGGTGAAGGGCAGTCAGAGGGAGGAGTTTGGAGATGTTAGCCCCATGCAGCTTGAAAGTGTTGTCATTCCTACCAGTGGAGCTCATGTGTTTTTGCTTCAAAGTAATGAGCCTGCGGAGGCTAAATATGTGGTGTAAATTATTCCGAGTCGTGCTAAGTCAGCTCTACTTTTTAACACCAGGCATGGATGATGCTGTTGCTAACACCAGGCATGGGTGATACCGTTGCATGTACCATTTTCTCAGTGGCCGTAGGATATTCGTGTCCACTCTTGCTTGCTGGTTCCTTGCTTGTCTTCCAACACTTGTGCCGGCACAAGTGCCCTGGGGCCAGATGGTGACCTGGATCAGTGAACAGACCCCGGTTCCAGGTTAAAAATACCCTCACTCCTCTCTTTCTCCCGGATATTTATAGCCTGGATTGGTTCGTTGATCTAGTTTAGCACATGACATTGCGAACAGTTGTGCCATCGCTATGAAGAAGGTGGCATGACACTGGAAAAGAGATGCCAATGGCCGTGGGGGAGAAGGAGCGATAGCTCAAATCGACTGCCAGAGATGGCCGTATCATCAAGCCATGGCTTCAGTTCCTCAAGGGATGGTTTCATGAACCACCTTTTGCTGGCGTACCATGCAGCTCCACCTTGCTTCTGGTTCACCACAACTTACGGGGTACGGTGGGAGGAGAGGACATGAGGACGGAGGGGCAGTGACTGTTGCCCTCAGTACTGCCCTGAAAGAAATGCTGAAGGAACCACAGCCTCAAACTTAACCTCCTCTGCCTGCTTCGAGAGCTACACTTACAGGAGCTGCTCTCACAGGCTAATGGTAACTAGCTTTTTCCATGCCCAAGGGGAAAGAGGCTTGAGTGGAAACTTCTACAAAACTGAAATTATGATTTTTTTTGAGTGGCTACTGAAGCTGTATGTGATATGTGCCTCTGTGTGTGTTTTACTGGCAGCGTTATGCCTTTCTGCTTAGATACAAGTGGTGCAGTGGAGGATATCTGATTTGTCTAACCTGTGTTGAGAATAGACATGAGACTTTCTTTCTTCTGGGATACCTCTGATCCAGTGCTTCCTTTGCCAAATGCTTAACAAATTAGAAAGCCTAATGTGTTGGCACGATCTGTGGGCACGCCCCAAATTTTCAGTTTTCAAGGCCCCGATTCTGCAATTCACACATTGCTCAGGATCAGTGAGGTTACATCAGTTCTGGGATGTAAAGCTTTGATCACCTGAACAGGAGGGATGTCAAAAGTCAGAGGTGAAGGCTTTCCTCAAAAAGTTTTGGTTGGCATGAAGAAAATGAAGCAGTGTGACCTCTGACTGGAGGCATTGGAAGAAACATTACAGCTCTGTAATGTGCATGGCGCTGTGGAAATGCGCTTCATCCTTCTCAGCTTTTCTTGTGGTTTTCTCTTCGGATTTTAATTTTGAAAAGAATGGTGGTAAGGATGAGAAAAGAGGAGGTGGGCTGAAGATATCAGCTTGATCTTTGAATATATTATGAGTAGTTAGTACTGCTGCCTGAAACGTTGATGGGGTGTTGATGTGCATAAAACTTTCCAGTCTCTTCGGCTTTCCTCCGCTCTAAACAAATCAAGAAAAGATCTAGAAGGATTGTGTGGATCTTTATAGATCATTAGATCTACAGCACTAAAGCAAGCACGAAAGGATCTGTGCGATCTGAAGATCTGTAAGTCTCTCTACAGAATGGTGCATACGAAGGTCCTATTTTCACTTTCTGAGGGCAAAGCTAGAGCACATGTAGGGTGAAAAAATTTCACTGGAGCGTAGAACAAATAAAAACAAAAACCCACCAGTCCTCATCGATTGAAAGCTATGCAGTTGTTGGAATGAGCCCAATGACCATAAAAGGGGAACAATATGAACTATCAGAGTATACACGATTTAAAAATTATTTTCCAAAATGTTCGTATGCAGGATGAATCTCGGGCTGCACGCGTGTTGCGGGGGGAGGCGTTATTTGAGAGATTCCTGTAGTCTGTCTTTAACCTTCTTGCTGTAGGCTCTGTGTTCCTTTTGGGGCATTGTTTTAGAGGAGGCAGTGTTCAGTTCGTGTTGACCCCTTCCACTCACTGGCCGTGCTGGTAGGTTTCCATGAGCCCCTTGCTGGGTGCTGCTGTGCCGCGCTGTAGCGCACCAAGTGAGCCGTGACTGATGTTATCAGATGCAGCACGAGGACGCTGTAAGGTTTGGCAGTCACCGTTTAGTTAGAAGAATCCATTTTCTTGTGAAGAAAATATCATTTAGAACCTTAGCGAAGCTTACTTGGCAAATCTGCCTGCATCTAAGCTGATAACTCGCATTACACCCTAAACAGATGGCTTGACTCTGCTTAACTCTTTTGGAGGCTTTCTTTGCAGCTGCACGGTTGTTTCCAGTGTCACTCCTGTGTTCCCCTTCCAGCGATGCTTTTCTCTTTGAAAGGTTTAGTAACCGAGTTTGAGGGAAGAACATAATCTCTTCTTTTCTGTTTGTTATAACCCTTGACGCTGCTGCTTCTTCCTCCTACCTCTTCCCACACACGCTCTTGGCATCCCTTGGGAAAGTTTTCCGCATGCCTTTTTAATAGCAGCATTTCTCAGCTCTTGTGCCCAGTGTTTCATGACTTGTCCAGTCTAGTCTGTGTAAAATTATGCTAAGTAAACAACTGGTACTGTATCCCGCTGATTTATGAAAGAAGCTGGATTGATTTTAGTGCTTGCCTGTCTTACCCTTTCTGTACGTGCTCTGCAGAAAAATTAACAACCCCAACCCAAAACCTCCAGGCCTGCAGAGAAACGTGGCCCATCTCCCGTACCTAGACAGGAAAGGTTACCCGAGTTTTTCATTGCCATCTTCCCGACTCTGCGGGCTGCTTTTTTCTGTTGTAGTAGGCAAGTCACTGTGATTCTTGTAAGTCTCTATCTTATGGCCTGTGTGGTGTTACAAACTGTGATCGTGTGGATAATGTGTTGTCCATAAGACATCCCAGAAGCAGTCTGCAGAAGGACTGCAGATAAACTATAAATGTGTGTGTTCTTACACATGCAGGCAGACCAAATGAGGAGAAAATAAAAGGCATAACCACTAAAAGTTTGTCCTAACTCTTAGGTGTTTTTTTTCTTTTCACAAAAACCCAAAGGTGGTGTATGGAGTTTGATGTGTTTGGAGGGGAAAAAAAAACCACATAGTAAAAAGTTGATGCCTCACTGTAGCAGACTGGGAAATGCAGATCTTCACGGCGCTGTGCAACAGAACTGGGGCAAGCCAGCCTGGAGAAGCTGAACTTGGGCTGGCCTTGTAGTGTGGAGGCATGAGTGCACTGCTTTACCTGGCTTAGCGCTGCTGCCTGATAAATCACTTCTATACCAGTCCATGGCAGTACTTACTGCTAAGTTAGCCAAAGCAAACCTGAGGCCGGTAGAGTTACTAAAAGCCTTTGCTGTGACCCTTCCTATTGATGTGAGTTGGGGAAAATGGGTCAAGGACCTAAAAATCCAGATC